CCCAGAAAGAGGAAGCCCAGCGTGCTGAGCTTGAGCAGGCCGAGGGCGCCGTAGCCGAGGTAGAAGCGGTCGGCGCCGAGGAAGCCGAGAAAGACGGAGAGGAGGAGGGTCACCTCGAAGGAGTAGCCGTTGGTGTAGTCGCAGGCGACGGCGAGGCTCACGTAGCGGGGCGCTTTCCGCTTTGACGTAGAAGTGGAGGTGGAGGTGGAGTTTGCACCATTTAGAACCGCTTCTCCTTTTCCTGCAGCACCACCTTCGAGCAGATCACGAGTCTGATGACCATCATCATCGTGGTGGTCCTCGTGGTCATCATCACAGATAAGGCCCTCGCGGAGGGTGCAGTTGACGGGGGCGAGGTTGGCTACCGTACAGCCCGCCGGCTGCTGCGTCTCCGGGTCAATCTCCGCCTGCGGACAGAGGAACTGGCCCATGCGAAGCTGGCGGCAGTTGATCCGGTGAAGTGGGGGCGGTGGTGACTTGCTGATGATGCTCTTTGCATTTCGGCTGGTGGTGATTGCTGCTGCTGCTGCTGCTGCTGCTGATGGGGCATCGGCCACCAGTGAAAGGCTGGGCGGAAGAAGGTGGTGGATGATGCTNGATGATGCTCTTTGCATTTCGGCTGGTGGTGATTGCTGCTGCTGCTGCTGATGGGGCATCGGCCACCAGTGAAAGGCTGGTGGGAAGAAGGTGGTGGATGATGCAAGGCTCGTCGTGATTTAGTTGGGCAATCGGAGAAGAGGAGGAATTTGGAAATGAAGCTGAAGAAGAAGAAGAGGAGGTTGCTATCGGTGACTTGAGCCTGTGTTGTTGTTGATCGAACTGTTGTTGTTGAGTGGTTGTTGTTTTGCCTTGAGGAGGCGGTTGATCGCTGCTAGCGGCGCTGATGGCCAAGAGGAGGAGGCTGAAGAGCAGAACTGAAAANTGATCGAACTGTTGTTGTTGAGTGGTTGTTGTTTTGCCTTGAGGAGGCGGTTGATCGCTAGCGGCGAGGAGGCTGAAGAGCAGAACTGAAAAGAAGAACCGAAGTGGGAAGAGCTGCAGAATGCAGGCCCACTTCATCGTGAGAATGAGGAGGAGGAAAGGGATTCGGTGGTGGTGGCGGCTTCTGCTGCTTCCTCCTCTCTGATCATGGTAACTCTTCGAGTGGTGACGCTGATGATCGGAGAGGAGTGTGCTCGGGAGTGATTCGGAAGTAGTCGAAGTCCGGGTGATCTTGATGTTTAGAAATGATGTTGACCCGAAACAGCAGCAGCCTTCTGCTGCTGTACGACAACAACGGCTACATGCACACCAGTGGGGTGCACTCGCTTTCTTTCGTGCTGACGCACACCGGTGGAAATAGTGTGTTGTCATCGGAGAGAGAGCTCAAATCAGTCACTCAATTTCTTTCTGGTACTCTCTTCTCTTCTTTCACTCTTCGTCCTCGGATCCTTCTTTCGAGTACTCGAGCTTTTAAAAGCAATTTTCAGTATCACAGTTGAACCCAAGAGTCGTTTTCGAGTCTTCAAGTCAGGACAAGTCCGCGAACTCAAATGCTGCTTCAAGTCAAAGCACTCTGACCTGACCAGTCCAGCTGTGATTTTAGCGTTGGAGTTTAACGTTTTTTGTTGTTGGATCGTAAACGTTCCCTTCCACTTTTTGCTGTGATTTTCATTGTCATTTAGAAGAACACCACATTTCAACTTCCAAGAAGCATGGCCGATACAGCTGGTCCAAGCGGTGCTGCTGCCGCCGATAATGCAGCTCTTCAGGAGCTGAGCGAACTGGAGAGGGAAAAGTTGACCCAGTTTAAGGTGAGTATTTCTAAAACAAATAGTTGAGCTTTTGTTAACTCTAGTTTTTGTTTTTTTCAGGACCTAACGGGAATAGAACAGACAAAATGTCTGCAGATTTTGCGCGCCAACGAGTGGAATCTCGAGGTGAGCTCGCTTGTGTTTACTCTCTTTTTT